TACTATGGCGCCCAATCGCAGCTCTATCCGACGGCTCTGTGCGCGGACTACAACAACAATGCGGGCATTGGAGGTTTGCGTTACTTCAATGGACTGCCCGGGTATACGGCTCCGCCCGGATTGCTGCCGCACAAGTATACGGGCGGGCCGCCCATGCCCAGCCAGTTGGAGGTGTGCCAATATGCGCATGCCAATGGCAGCGCCAGTTGCTACAATCGCAATCGTTATATGCCCTACAATCACAATCGGGCATGCGCGGCCGCCGCTGCTATGGCAGCGGTCACTGGTCACCCATTGGTGGCGTTGGCGCAGCCTCATCATCAGCAACAGCAGCCGCAGCAGCAGCAGGGCTTGGGCTTAGGTCCAGGAGGTGTTGGTGGTGGTGCAGCTGCTGCTTATGGCGGCGGCTATCCGCCAGTCTTTGCGCCCATTTATCAGCAGCAGCAGCAGCAGCAGCAGACAACTCCACTGGCCACGCCCACCAGCAGCGGTCCATCCATGACGCCCACCGTGAGCATTGCAGCCAGCAGCGCTGCCATCGCCGCTGCCACAACTGCAGATTACGGCTATGGCAATGGCCTGATCAACACCATGGCGCCCAGCATGGCGCCCATGTCCTGCTCGGGCGCCTCGACCATGTCCACCAACAGCTGTGCCAGCAGCTCCAACAGTGAGTCGAGCACACCGGCTCACACCTTTGCCAGTGTAACGGATCCCAGCGATGCGGTCACACTGCAAATTACCAATCTGGACTACTCGCTGGATGAGACCAGTTTGCGTAATTTCCTCATGAATCAGCTGAAGCCCATCACGCCGGTCGTCTCGCTCAACTTTGAGGCGAGCAGCTATGCCAAGGTCACCGTGCCGGATCTCTATGTAAGTGCTGGCATCCCCAAGGAACTGTTCATAGTTTATATGTTGTGCATTCCCCTCCAGTTCGCCAAGCAGGTGGTGTCCAATTTGCACCGCAAGAAGATTGGCCACAAACGCATGCTGGTCAGCTACACGCGCGACTCCTCACTCACAGAGATCAACACGCTGCGCTGCCAGGTCGCTGGTCTACTGAAGGTTGGTATGCCTATAATATAGACTTGAAATGATCTCCATTTTAATGTTTTTATTTTGTTTAAATATCCCTTATTTTCTATACTTTATATGTTTTTCTTTTTATGTTCACTTTGAAGTTATTTATTTTATAAATTTACTAAGAAATCATTATTTACTATCTATAGAATGAGTTACTTTATTTAAATACTTATTTTTTATTGTTTCGAATATTTATTTTTAAATTGTTATATGTGAGATATGAGACAGTATTATATAAAATATAATATTCTTCAATTTCTGATTCCATTTTATGTCATTTATTCTTACTATAATAATTTCTTTATCAATTTATTTTCTTGTTTTTATATATTTTATTCTAATCTAATTTCTATTGCAATATTTTCTTCTCTTTATTATACCAAATCAACCTCGATTTCCGCTACAGGACGTTCCGTATTATACATTGCCCATGTATAAGTTCCGTGAGCTGTTTCAGTCGCGCTTCAAGACCTCAATCAGTGTCCTGGATTTGTACAAGATGCAGGATATCTGCACCATTAATGCGGGCAGCAATGAGGACAAGTTCATTAGCCTGCAGCCGGAGCTGGTCAATACGCTGGAGAGCTCGCCCCTGATGGAGGGACTGCAGCACAGCGTGCCCTATTGCACGATCCACTTTAAGCGCGAGCAGCACAAGGGCTGGGCCGAGCAGGAGATCGAGCCGTTGCCCAATGTGTGCATGACCATAGCCGAGATACAGCAGCTGATCTATCCGCTGTTGAAGCACCATCCGGGCGACATACCCGTCGCCACTCTGCTGCACTGCATCGAGGGTCAGCTGAAGGTGCAAATTGCGGCCAACGAGAGCGGCGTCAATCTGGAGCACCTGGTCTGCTGTGTCCAGGGCATACAGATACAGGTGAACAATTTCGGCATCAAGATTCTCGGCTGGCTGGAGCTCAACAAGGATCTATCAACGGGGGCCAGCACCAGCACCAGCAGCACCAACACCAGCAGCGCCAGCGCCAGCAGCAGCTGCAACAGCAACACTGGCAACAGCAACATGGCCAACGTCAGCCTGAATGGCAGCGAGCGTGGGAATGGCAATGGGAATGGGAATGGAAATGGCGGCTCGAGCGGCTACTTCAAGAACTCTGTGGCCGATCCACTCTTTCAGATCTCACGCGAGGTCATCGAACTGGTGAAGATGTCGCCCAAGTCCACGATGAAGTTCAATCGCTTCATACCGGCCTATCACAATCATTTCGGCAAGCAATGCCGCGTGGCTGACTATGGCTACACCAAGCTGATTGAGCTCTTCGAGGCGCTCTCCTCGGTGGTCCAGATCATGGGCGATGGCGAGAATCGCCAGATAACGCTCACCCATCGCACACAGATCAGACGCTTCACCTCGGATCTGTTGCGAGTGCTGCGCGCCAACGGCAACAATTCGGTGCTCCTGTCCCAATTGCCGGGCATCTTTGCCCAGACCCAGAATCGTAACTTTGATGTCACCGACTATGGTGTCTGCGACATTGTGGACATCTTGGATGGGCTGGTCAACAGCAACATTGTCGTGATCAGCCCCGTGCAGCAGGGCAAGGATATCCTAATCTCAATGCCAAAGCGCAAGCAGACCAACGCCGAGCTGGAGAAGACCAGCGTCTTTGCTGGCGAGATGGTTGAGCTGTTCCAGAACGCACTCCAGTATACCATATCGTTCCAGAAGTTTGTGCGCTCCTATCACTATCATTTTGCGTACCAGTGCCGCCTGAGCGACTTTGGGTTCGTGAAGCTGGCCGATCTCATGGACGCCATACACGGCGTCGTCGAGCTGGAGCTCTCCAGCGACGAGGACAAGAAGATTGTGCTGTCGCCCAAGGTGGCGCGACGTGTGTTTGCCGAACAGTGCGAGGATCTCATACGCAACGTGACGGGCAACTCCACGAACTGCATGAAGCTGGAGCAAGTTCTGAAGCTGCACAAGAAGAAATTTGGCTATCAAATGCTGGCACAAACCCTGGGCGCTCCCGACATAGCCAGCGCCATTGAGCTGCTGCCCTATGTGGAGCTGGTCCACAAGGAGCAGGCCACCTGGCTGATCTGTCACAATGACGATGTGGAGTTCCGTCAGCTCTGCTATCGCGCCTGCAAGCAGCTGCTGCAGCGCGAGGCGGGAGCCAAGGCTGCCAGCGGAGAGTCCGCACCGCCCAAGCTGGAGCCACTCAGCCAGGCGCAATTCCTGACCGATTTCAATGCCAAGCACAAGGCGCAGCTGACTGAGTCGGCGCTGCGGGCCATGCGACATGCCATAGAGGTGAGCAAAGAGACTCTCCATGAACATACCTAGATATATGGACTTGTATATATTCTCTTAGATCTATGTGGAGGCTGATCAGCCGTGCGTGCGACTCACGGCCTTCATGCGCTTCCTGGTGTCCATTGTGCGCCTCCTGGAGCAACGCCCCAGCATGTATCTGTACGAGCTGAAGAACAGCCTGGACTGCGGCCTGAGCACCACCTTCGAATATGGTTTCCCCAACTTGTATTCGGTGATTGTGGCGCACGATGATCTCTTTACAATCAACATGGGCGCCACGCAGGAGCGCAGCGATGTGGCCCTAAATGTGAACTGCGAATGTGAGTTAGAGAGAGAATGTGAGAGTGAATGATGAAGAATAGATATGTAGGTGAGAGGTGAGGGAACTGTACGGTCTGCTAGATACTCAAGTTGGTCTCTTATATCGGTAGATCGTGGAAGGCGGATTGGGTTGATAGAATGTTCCCAAGGAAAGGAATTTTATATAGGAAACAGATCTCAAAGGCAAAAAAGGAATAAACTGGCATGAGTCGGTATAATGCTGTATTTATGTTGTAAGTCCTATATGAGGTTGCCAACTCTGGCAAGAAGAAACCTATTAATCGTCATATTATGTGGTGTTCAATTGATGAGAATTTTCTTTGTGAAATAGCGATCAGCTATTTCCTGAGTGGAGCAGCTACATATATCTCCAGATAGGATAAAGGATAAAGGTTCCCATCTGTGGAATATAATCCGAACTTAAGATTTCCAATTGAGTGAATATGTTTTCGCCAGGACAACTTAGGATCTAATGTGGGTTCAAGATCTTTTTTCGGGATGAGTCACTTAATCGGGAGTGCGTCAAGATAAATTTGTGGGCAGGGCTTTGGTCTCTTTATCAAGATGAATGTGTTTAAGTTCTTCAGTCTACGCCAAATATTTATATATATAAATTGAATTTAATTTACAAGCATCTATATATTTATGAAAATCCCTTACAGTACGCCTTGGCTCTGGTGCCACGCATCAGCATCTGTTTGGCTCTCTGAAGCTGCCCTATGCCAAGCATAAGGCGCAGCGCAGCGCTCGCACGCCGCTGGGCGAGCACAATCGTCCGGCTCTGGCCCAGGCAGCGCCACCGCACAAGACCCGAGCCATTGCCAATGAGTATGCCGGCAGCATGGGCAGCGTGTGCAATGGGGCGTTCAAGCCGCAGGTGTCCGTCAACAGCTTCCAGGCCTATCAGGAGCAATTGGCCACCAACTCCAAGTGCTCGCCACCCAGTGCCAACAGCTCGGTGCTGTCGTCGACCATGTTGAACAGCTCGTTGTGCAGCAATTGCAGCAACAAGGAGAATTCGCTCAATAGCTCGCAGCAATTCTATCACAACAACAGCAGCAGCAACAGCAGCAACAGCATCAACAGCAGCGGCGGCAGTAGCAGCAGCAGCAACAGCTCCTTCAATACATCCTGTGAGCTGAACAACAGCCTCTGCTCTGGCGATGTTACCTCCAGCACGGCCATTACGCAGGCCATGCCGTATGCGCAGGCGGGCAAGCTTTGGTATCGTCGTCAGGCAAGCTTCTATCAGCAGCAGCAGCAGCAGCTGCAGCAGCAACAACAGCAGCAACGCCAGCGCCAACAGCAGCAGCAGCAGCCGATGTCGAACTTGTTGCCACATCATCTGGACTCTGGACGAGATCTCTATGATCTGAATGTGGCGCCCATTAGCTCCTGCTATGAGCCACCCAAGCCCGATACGCCGCCCTCTGAGGTAACTAAAACTCAATGGCTAAAACAATTTTATAATTATGCATACAATTTCTATATATTTCTGCACTAGAAACTGCCCTTCTGGATCGATCCCATTTGGAGCAATCAGTCGCAGGAGCCCAAGCAAAATTCACTCAACATTCGTCTGCCAGAGCTCAAGGCTCTCAATGTCTTGCCCATGCTGCTATCGCCATATACCATATCCAAGCATGTGAATATGAAGCGGCAGATGTTTAACTTTGATAATCACGATCGCAAGATAGCCTAAACTTAATAATAATAATAATAATAATCTCTACTTAGATCTTAAGTGCCAAGTGGAATAGGAAGACTTTCACTTTTTCATTTATATAAGGGTTCCCGGTGAGCCTTGAAATTGTTACAATTTGATTTCATATCGATAAGAAAGATTTTTGTCTCCATTCAAAAGAGAATACACAAGAAAGAAAAATGTTCCTTTAGCTGTAGAGCAATTTGTTAATGCCATTCATTCTATTGATACTACGAGAATTACGAGGATATATCATATAAGATTGCTTTCTTTTATAAATTTGTTACACGGATCACAATCAACACATTTTGTATTTTAGTCCTTAAGCTACAATTTGTAAATTGCTCAAAATTGTTGAGTCGAAACGTTAGAAAAAATATATATATTTTTTGATCGAGAGAAGAGTTTTTTTGCGAAGGAATTTATGGGGTATATGGTTCTTAAAGAGAGATTGTTTCACACATTGTGTTGACTAGGATGAAAAACTTAATCAAGATAATTCGATTGCCCTGCCTTGTCTGATCTAGAACTCATTTTTCTATAAATACGATTTAAGAAATATCCTTTTGAAAACGTAGCTATTTCTTGGTTTTGATTCATACGCTATCGCTTAGTCGAACGGAACCGAGAAGAGTTTTATTACATGTTTTAGCTAGGATTTCAATCAGTTCATTCGCAAACTAAAGTTTTTGCAAGTTTAATTTAAAAATGATTGCTACTAAAAGAGGTGTAAAACATCTTAAAAATTTGGTGCGACTTGACGAAAGATTGCATTGGCTAGCTCAATTCCAAAGAAGGTCGCCGCATTGGCCGGAAACGCACGAAGTATAACGGGTGTAAACCCACTGAAAGCATAAAGAAGTACAGTTATATATAGCACAAATAATTAGTACAAGTAAAAACAAACCGATATAGTGCTGAGATGCCATCATTTTTCCTTAGATCTTTAAAAACTGCCCTTATGCCATCAAAAGTACCATCGGGAGCTGATGGAATTAGATTTCGATTAGACCAAACAACAAAATACTTCTATTGAGGGAACTACCATCCAAACTTACCAGACTGTAAACGACTTTTCAGCACATCGGCCGGCATACCGCCAATCCAGTAAAATATGCCAGCCATGCCACCTGCGATAATAGCCGGAATCAGATCAACATTTGGCCGATTAAAGCGACGCTTGTACTCGTCCGTCATGATCTCATAGCTTAGAAAGTACAGCCCATTGGCGGGTATATCTGAAAGCAAATATGAGCTTATATATATACATATATTTATATAGAGTTGAAATCAGATTTCAAGCGTGTTAACGAAATTATCGTGTCATACTCGTGGCATAGGTAACCAAGCCAAGCAATATAATTGCCATGTGCTCGTTGCGCTGATGATGTGTGCTAATAACGTGTCGGTGTCGATTAGATTACAATTCACTTTACCGTATAATATGGATATGCATTAAATGCAATCCAATTAATGTTGACTAATTGCTAGTGCTACACGAGTCGAAGACAACACGCGCAGTCGTTCGAGGCAGTGGCTATCAAACTGAATTCTTGACTCTCAAACTGTTTCTTATCAGTTCAAAATTAATTCAGTTTAACATAAAATTGCTCAAGTCTTGAAACAGCACAGTGCTTGCTAAAAGTACACTGCAACTGCTTTACAATGAAACGCATATGTGCTACATGTTTAGCCATAATTGTTTTCCATTTCTGTTCCTCAAATAAAATATTTGATTTAACATTCAACTTAAGACTTGAAAAATTTCTATATATATTTAATATATATTTTTCAGTAATGTATATATTATATATATCTAGATTTGTATAATAACCACTTGCAATTTGATTTCTTTAAAATCTTACAAAACAATTGATAAAGAAATTTGAATTTTATGCAAATTATCTTTAAAACAGATCAAAGAAAACAGTTAAAACTGTGGTACATATCAAAATGTATATATATTATATATATACCAGACCTGAGCTTAACGCTAAGTTTAACTTAAATTAAAATTAATTTCTGCATACATTTCATTCAAGTACATTATAATCAATCATATGTAAAAACAATTTTTTTTTTATTAATTTACATAATAATTTTGCATTAACAAAGACTAACTGACACTTAACTTTTAGCTTGAACACTACTACAAAAGGAAAGCCCTGGGTCTACCTGCGATGTGAAAAGTATTAACAATTAGAAATCACTTTACTAGAAATTTGGTGCAACCAAATTGAAGAATTTGTTGGCCAGCTCAATGCCAAAGAAGCAGGCAGCATTGGCTGGGAAGGCACGTATCATAATGGGCGTAACGCCGCGATACAGAGCCAATGGACCGTCCTTAACAATCAGATCCTTGAACACACTGCGTACGCCGTGCTTGTAGGTGCCCTCGGGTGCTGCAACGAATGCGATGAAATCAATCGAATAATTGAATATTATAATCTATTTACTTACCCGACTGCAGACGACTCTTGAGCACGTCGGCGGGCATGCCCAGTATCCAGTAGGCCATGCCAGCGGCGCCGCCCGCAAATATGGTTGAGGCAGTGTTGATTTCGCCCGTCTTCGAGTGGGCCTTGGCCACATCCTGTATGTACTCGTAGACCAGGAAATAGAGCCCGTTAGCGGGCACGTCTAGAAAAACACGTTCAACAACAACAGTTCAGTAATCAAATATGGAGTAATTAATATAAATATATGTATTTCTAAACTTTCTCTAACTACTTAAGTCACAGTTAATGTTTACTTACAGCTCAACTTATTATTTTATTTGATATTTCTTGATTGTTGACTCTAGATTCTTGATTCTTGCTTGGCTTTATGTTCTGGAACTATGATGGGGCTGTGGGAAATTATTTATATCTTGCTATGCGAAACGCGCGGCGACATCAACGGCGCCATAAATATCTTGTTTATTGCAATATAGTAATTCCGACTGAACTATATACTACGACAATTACAAACGCACTCACATACACACACACACAGTCGAGAGCACAAACACATATGGGTTCGTACATTGTGCAAAGAAAAACATAAACAAGTTACAGTGGGTTTGAATTGTAAACAAAACGCAAATCAATTTGAATAACAAAGAGATTATCGTTATTAGTTTAATATATTACAGTTTTGTTTGCTTATATATTAAAATCAATCAAACAAGTTTAAAGCAAGATATATGTAACAAAAGAATATATTACTTAATTATAATGAATTGCTCATTTATTTATTTAAATTCGTTTTTAATAGTTTATTCTTTGAGGCTTTGTATTATCATCATTATATATTTTATATATTTATTAATAAAATTTGAAAAATAATAGATTGTTTTACATGTTTGTATATATTTGTAATTTTTTTTTTTAGTAGTACGTTTACGTCGAATGCAAAATAAATATGTCTATACTTTACTTATTTTACATTCATAAAAAAAAATTAGAACATAAGTCAAGGTATTCTTATTTACTATTTACAAAAAAAAAATAATCCTTAATGATTTTTCAATGAAATGCAAATTGCTTACATAAAAAACTAATAGTAGGCAAATATTTTCAGTATATTTGCATGCAATTTATAAAATTAAGACGATCCAACTTTTTATAACATAATAATTAGGTAGTTTTATTTTATATGGGCTTATTTTCATTTCATTTAAATTCAGATTTAATAATAAAATATCTAAGCAATAATAAAATATACATGATACTTTATAATATTATATTTAATTAGGTTGTTTTATTTTTTATATGCTTATTTTCATTTCATTTAAATTCAGATTTCATGATAAAATTATCCAAGCAATAATAAAATATACATGTGTACATTTTTATTTATTTAATACCCGAAAGTTGAGTCTCGATAGTGAAATAGATATTTTTTTTACAAAAGGGATAAAACACCTATAGCATCTATAACTACTAACTAAGCCCGAAATTTTCCAAATATAAAATTTTAGTACAAGAAAAAAAGAAGAAAACTATAGAGAAATATACGGATTATAGAATATTGTTTCATCTCACAAACGCGACCTTGTGCTCATTGAAAGACGTGGAGAAACTCCTCAAACCGACGCCCATTATATACATATATACATACATATACACTTATACAGGCATACATATATTCACATATTATAAGAACAAAGTTTTATCGAAAAAGGCCATAATCTCAAATATGTATTTCCGTTAAAATGATTATACATGAAAAATATATATATGTATGTGTATATGAAATTACAGTAACAATAGGGAGTTCAAATTTGTTTTCGCTCTCAGTCCGATGGGAACCATGAGGCTGCGTTTTAGTATATGAACGGAATTCGAGGCAAGTGTACCTGCTTGGGCTTGAGGAATAGAGAAGTCAACACGCCAGCGCTTGCCAAACTGTGCGATAAACGATAGAGATGTTATCGGTGTCGAGTCTAATAAAAGTGCTAATCGTGCTGTTGCTAGTGAGTGACCCCCGAGCCATACTTAATAACGATATGATATATACATATATATATATACGGTTAAACTCTGCATACAATAGCGCTGCCAGCTACAGTCAGCCCTGCCACAGCTGGACCAGCAACCGGAGGCAACTGTGGAGCTAGACGTGCTGAGCTGCCCCTCCAGCTGTGTCTGCCAGTATGCCGCCTTCAATGAGCTGCCCATCGCACGCTGGGTGAATCACATGACCAACACGGATGCCTCCGATGATTCCGACTTCCTGTTCTCTACCCACATCAAGCTGGCCACATGTCTGCTGCAGGAGGAGAGCGAGACACAAACGCTGTTCGGCGCTTTACCCATCGATCTGCAGGCTCTAATCCTGCTGCATACGGGCAGTCCAGGGAGCCAGCTGACAGGTGAGTCTGAACAGTCGGGCATTGTGGACTGAAGAACACGCATTTAGGGCGCAACTGTTCCCAATTCCACTTGCCACGCCCCCAACTAATATCAATCAAAAAGGATTTTTGGGGTCAATTTTTAGAAGTTGTCTTAGGGAAGCTACTCGCAAAAATTATTTGCTTAAATATTGTGAATATTACAGGGTATTTCAAAGTATGAAAGTCGATGTATATATATAGGATTATACATATAATATATGTATAAATACTGAAACAAAGCTTTAATATTATTTAAAAGCTTTGCATCGAGATTGAGCATTGATAAGAATATGTTTTGAATTTACGGTCTGATAGTAAAAATCTATGCATGTAAAAAAAGCTTCAATAATCAAATACAAACTTTAAGAAAAATGGGTTAGAACACTTAAGAAAAAGCCTCAAACTTTATATACTAATAAAGTATTTAAAGCTTGAATGTGAATTTGATTTAGATACTAAAACAAAACACTTTTATTTGATTTTTTTTTTTTAAATCAAGCTGAAGCCTATTATTTGGAATTTATGAAAATCAACATAGATTAGCGGAAGAGTTATTTATTTCAAGAGGCTTTAATATTATAAAATGTTGACGTATAATTCTCGAAGCCCTTAATACATATTATATTGTCAAGGTTTTGTTTTTGTATACTAAAAGCTTATTAAAATTTTTAGCTAATAATATGGAACTAGAAAAAAAAAAAAAACTACCTTAAGAATACTAATTTTAAACATTTTAAAGGTCTAATAAAAACTCTCTATAAATAATTGAAGTACTATTAATATTTGGATCAATGCAAAGCGTAAACAAATGTTAATATATATAGCAATATGCGATTGCAGTGAATACGAGCAGTTTGCGTGCCCTCAACCAGCTGAGCACCCTGGAAATACGCGGCTCGGGCACCACCACGCTGAACATCGATGAGCCGCTGGAGTTTCTGCAGAACGCCAACTTTGAGCAAGTCAGATTGCAGGCGAGCGAGCGGCTGCAGCGGCCGCAGCACTCGAAGCTGCCCAGCGACAACTACGAGTACAAGCCGCCCAGTGATATGGCTGGCAACGAGGCCACGCCCAAATACCAGCTGAAATTCGAGGCAGATGCCGCCGTCGAGATCCTGAGCTATGCGCAGTATGTGGAGCGACTGAAGCAGACGCGCATGCCCAGCTTCTGGGGCTGGAGCCAACTGGAGGTGCTGCGCATCCACAGCTGCCAGCTGAGCGAGCTGCACTGGCAGATGTTCGACGGCCTGACGCAGTTGCATCATCTGAGTCTCGAGCGCAATGGCATCGAGGAGCTGCAGCCGTTCGCCTTCAGCGGAGCGCCACACCTGAAGAGCCTCTCGCTGGCCCACAATACGGTCGCACGCCTTTACTACCTGGGTCTGGCTGGACTCTTGGAACTGGAGACCCTCAATCTGGCCGACAATCACTTGGAGCGCTTGAGTGAGTCCAGTTTTCCGCCTCTGCCGCGACTGCTCAAAGCAGATTTGAGAGAGAATCCCATCATGTACATATTGCCAGCGACGTTTTGGGTGATGAACGATACGCGCGAACTGCTCCTGGGCAGCGAGCTGGCCGCACTGGAGCTGCGCAGCTGGAACAGCTATGGACAGTTCGATTCGCTGCACAAATTGCGCAAGCTGAGTCTGGGCAATGTGACGACA